CTACCAACTGCTTCCCCGTAGAGTTTTGCAGCTGTCGTTTTTTTTTTAAGATCTCTGAGAATTCCAGAGCACTCAAACCCCCACTCTTCTTCCTGCCTGTTTTTTTTTGGTAAGGAATTATTGAACATTGCCTCACTTTCCTTTTCTGATTTCAAATAGAAGATACGAGTATGTCTGGCATCAGATGAGGTCATCCTATGAGTTTGGGGTTGCTTTCTCCACTAAGGCGCAACATATTAGGTGTTGGTTTCGAAGAGCATTGTACTGCTCCTTGGTCTGAAATTTTTTTTTCGTACAAAATCTATGTGCAGCTTATTGTTAGTCGAGGTTTGGTACCATATCATTTTTTTTTTTCAGTGTTCTTAATTGCAAACAACCGCCTCTGCTCTGACTAGTTCATGCAGTTTTTTTTTGAGGAATATTGGGTAATTCACAGAACCTCTCGGAGGACCAGAGAGCCAGGGTCTGCCTCTAAGGCAACCGGGAGCAAGGCCCAACCACACCACGAAGGCCACTCTGCCAACAATTTTTTTTTAGCTGTCACTAGGCACAAATGACCTTTAGGAATGGACACCAGAAGCTCTGCTGTTGCTACTTCCAAAGTGCTGGATGCCTCCTCCGGAGAGGAAAAGGAACATCCCCACTTGCTGCTTTCTCAGCTGAAGTCAAGTCACACCTGGAGAAGTCTGACTGGTGAAACCCAGGTCCTATGCCAGAACCCTAGCTGCAAGGAAGTCTAGGAACGGGAGTTTTCTGGTTTCAACCTTGGGAAGGAAGAACACAGCATGTGGAAAATGACCAAAATATACATAGCCTTGTAGTGGATACTGTTTTTTTTTTTTCCACTCATATGGCCTTGGATCCCTTTGCCATTTTTACACATGTCAGCAGCACTCCTAATAACCAGCACCTTCCTCTCTTTGGTCAGAGAACTGCTCCCAAAATATCCCAATTTTTTTTTTTTATGGCCCGAATGTTTGTGTTCCCCCAAGATTCATAGATTGAAATGCTAACCCCCAAGGTGATGATCTTAAGAGGTGGGTCTTAGGAAGGTTATTAGGTCACTAGGCTCTGCCCTCATGATTCAGATTAGTGCCTCTACAAAAAAAGACCACACAGAGCTAGCTCACCTCTTCTTTTTTTTTAGGACACAGCAAAAGGTAACACCAGGAAGTGGGTCTTCACTAGGTACTAACTTTTTTTTTTCCTTGATCTTGGACTTCTCCGTCTCCAGAACTGGGAGAAATAAATGTGTGTTTTTTTTTTTCCACCCATTTTATGTTATTTTTGTTATAGCAGCCCAGATGCGCTAAGACAGCTCACCCTCCAAACAGGACCCTCTGAGCTGTGATCTTCACAGTATCCGAGCTCCCCAGTGGGTTTTTTTTTGATATCACATCCTTGCTTGTCCTTCTTTCCTGTTCTACTTCCCACTCTCCTGTTTTTTTTTGGAACATTTACAACACTGGTTACAATCCTGGTTCTCTTACAACACTGGAGTCAGTTGTCACTCATGCACTCAGGAAGAAAGTGGCAAAACAGCTGACAATGACATGCATTTTGTTTTTTTTTATATAATGGGCAATTTACTTAACCTTTTTTTGGGTTAAACTCTGTCACAGAATTTTTTTTTAACCTTGAAAGGTCTTCTAAAAATTAAATGAAATAAGAGATGTCCTGGTACTTAGTAGAGCCCCTCCAAAAAGGTATTTCCCTTTCTTGCTCCTTCCAGCTGACTGAAAGTTATTTTTTTTTAAAATGTTTCATTTCCATATTTGTCACTCTGTGCAAATAAGTCAAATCCGATTAAAAAATAAAAACTGGGGGTGCCTGGGTGGCTCAGTTGGTTAAGCGACTGCCTTCGGTTCTTTTTTTTTTTCTGGAGTCCCAGGATCAAGTCCTGCATGGGGCTCCCTGCTCAGCAGGGAGTCTGCTTCTCCCTCTGACCCTCCCCCTTCTCATGCTCTCTCTCTCTCTCTCTCAAATAAATTTTTTTTTTTTTAAAATAAATTAATTAATTTTAAAAACCTGGGATGGAGGGGCACCTGGATGGCTCAGTCAGTTGAGTGTCCAACTCTTGATTTTGACTCAGGTCCTGATCTCAAGGTTATGGAATTGAGCCCCACATCGAGTTCTGTGCTCAGTGCGGAGTCTGCTTGAATTCTCTCTCTCTCCCTCTTCCTCTGCCCCTCCCAGCTGCTCACACTCTCTCTCTAAATAAATAAATAAAATCTTTTTTTTTTAAACAAAAACTGGGATGGAGGAGAAGTCTCAGCCAGCCCAGGCTAGCATGAGTTTTTTTTTCGAAGAAGAGATGGCCCACATGGTCAGGAGATTGGTTACATACAAAAAGACTTTTTTTTTTAGTCAATATATTGAGACTAATGGGAGCCATGTTTCTCATTCCCAGGGAAGAGTTTTTTTTTTATAGAAGGGGGAAAGTCTAGATAAAACATTTAAGGTTGAATTGTAATTGGATTTTTTTTTGTGAATTCCTGGTTGATTCCAGTTTGTCTTAAAAGTAATAGAAAGCCACTGGTTTTTTTTTGGGTGAAGTACAGTGGGGTAAGCAGTTCATCATAAGATGTGCATTTAGAGGGGCCCCTGGGTGGCTCAGTTGGTGAAGCTCCAACTCTTGATCTCAGCTCAGGTCTTGACCTCAGGGTGGTAAATTTAAGCCCCACATTGGGCTCCACACTGGGCATGGAGCCTACTTAAAAAATTTTTTTTTTTTGGAAAATGTTACAATTATGTGGCAAAATGTGGAAAACAGACTGGAGAATGGAAAGAGCAAACTTGCAAAACTAGCAAGGGGTTAGTGGCTAAAGCAAAAGTTGATGGTAGCCTAGACTTGATGGTGGTGATAGAGATGGAAAAATTTGGATTGACTGAAGAAATATTGAGATTTTTTTTTATGACATGATTTGGTGATGGGGAGGTGTATAAGATGATAGCTAGGTTTTTGGTTTGCTAAGCTGAACAAATGGTGCCATCCAATGAGGTAGGAAACATTAGAAGAGAATTAGGTTTTTTTTTAAGATCATGCATTGACTTTTAAACATAAAGAACTTGAGCTTCCTTTGAGACATTTTTTTTTCGAGTTCTGGAAACCAAGGAAAGGGAATGTTTCAAGAAAGAGAGAGAGGGGCTCCTGGGTGGGTCAGTCGGTTAGGTGACCAACTCTTGATTTCTGCTCAGGTCATGATCTCATTTTTTTTTGATGAAGCCCAGTGTTGGGCTTTGCGCTGAGCAGGAAGTCTGCTTAAGATTCTCACTCTCCTTCTCCCCTTCCTGCACACTCTTGAAAAAGGAGGAGGAGGAGGAGGAAGAAGTTTTTTTTTATCAACTCTGTTGAAAGCTTTAGAGAGGTGAGGTAGTAAATGGCTCAAAAATATCCATGAGAGAGCTGCTTCAGAGGACAGATGGATGGAGAAGCCAAGACTGGAATGGGTTGTTTTTTTTTTAGGTGAAAAGAATATAGAGGCTCTTCTCCTTCCACTACAAAAACAGTTGCATTTTTTTTTCTTATATCGGCCTAAAAGAAAAGCGCCATAATTCTAACCAAATCAGAAATATCAAGAGAGTTCAATCTCCACTTGGGATGAATTTCAATTTATACATGTCATGCTACCTAGTCTTCTGGGCTCCAGAAGAATGGAACTTGCTCTAGAAAACACAATACACAATAGTTACTCATTTTTTTTTTTATTCTGATTTGAAAATAAGAATTCTACACCCCCCCCAAAAAAAATTACTACATTTTTTTTTCTCAGAGTCACTTTAGCCTCCAAAGGTCATGCCTTCCTCTGTGTTCTACACATTTTTTTTTTTGTCTCACAGTGCTTTTCTCCCATATCCAAAACCTTATCCAAATTTCAGATTTTTTTTTTTCTATCAGTGAGTCATATCACACCTTATTTGGAAAACCTTGGCATTTGTGCCTTTTTTTTTTAATGTTGCCAACCAGGCCTTGCTCTCAAATTAATAAATATTTTCACAATAGTTTTTTTTTCCCCATCAGGCACAGTGATTTCTCAATCTTTTATATGTTACTAAGACTTTTTATGTATATCAAATTAAGTAGAGTATTGCAAAGTGCTCCAAACCCCATTTCCATCTCTTGGTCTTCAATTTCCCTATGAGTAATAATAGCTAACATTCATTGATTACCGTGTGCCATTCACTATTTTTTTTTTTTTTCACATAACACAAATAATCCTCCCAACAACCCTGTAATATACATATTTCTATTCCCATTTTACCAATAAAAAAATTGAGGTACAGAAAGTCCAAGTGACACAATTATTAAGTAGCAGAGTTGGGATTCACACAAATACAGACAAGAGAGCCCACGTTCCTAAATTTTTAGTTTTTTTTTAATAACTCTAATAAGGCCTGGTCCTACCCGGCCAAGTTTTACTGATGTATCATTTTTTTTTAGCATAGTTTAGCAACCGGAGTTTTTTAAAGATATTCTATTCCATCGAATCATTTTTTTTTCATTTCCTATGCCCTCTTCCGCGGTGCTACAAGAACCCGCTGTATTCCTGACTTTTTTTTTGTGGCGCTGCAGGGACAGGTAAGGGCACAGGCAACGTCACTGGGAGGGGCTGTTTTTTTTTGAGGACGCGATCCGTCACCCCGTGGTAGGCGGAACCTAGGGAAGGGCAAAAGTTTTTTTTTGTTTTGTTGTGCGCAGGCGCAGGGCTGGGCACTCCCCCGGGAGTGAAGGCTGTTTTTTTTTATGACGTGGCCTGGCAACGTCCGCTCCGGTGCGCCTCTGGGGGCCCCGGCGCCGCCGGAACTGCCCGCGGCCTAGTCCCGACGCTCGTGTGCTTGTGAGCCGGAGCCGGGGACAGCGGCGGCGGCCGAGCCTGTGGGGACCCGACGGGGCCGCTGCCATGGGAGAGTGACGCGCTTTTTTTTTCTGTTCCACGGCTGCGGCGAGACATGAGGAAACCCCGCGACGGGGGCAGCGGCTGCGGCTCCTGAGCCCCGGGATGGAGGAGAAATACGGCGGGGACGTGCTAGCCGGCCCCGTTTTTTTTTGCGGCGGTGGCGGCGGCGGCGGCCTCGGGCCGGTGGACGTGCCCAGCGCTCGTTTTTTTTTGGACGCGGCTCGCGCCTCCGGAGCGCCTCTTTCCCGCGCCTGCGCTCGCCGGTTTTTTTTTTCGCGGACCCGGACGGCAGCTGCCCCCCGGACGCGCGCGGGCACCGGCGGCCCTCCCGTCCCACTGACAGCCTGGAACGCCCTCAGCCCAGCACGCGTCCCACAGCGGTCCGGTTTTTTTTTGTGTCTCCTGCGCCCGTGGCTTTCATTGGCTCCCCTGTTGCCCGCTGCAGAATTTTTTTTTTAAAGCCCAGGGCGGTTCTGCTTGAGTTTCTGGTGTTCGAGGCATACCGTTATTTTTTTTTCTGCCAGCAGGTTCACAGGGGTTTTTCTGGTCTGTGACAACCATTTCTGTTGTTTTTTTTTCCCTGAAATAGTAGTTCAGTGACTACTAAACCTTTCTGACGTCTCGCTGCGTTTTTTTTTTGAAGGTGTCACCATCTTCAGGCGAACAAACCAAAGTACAAACGGATGAACTTTTTTTTTTTGGTTAACCCCGCACATCAAAAATTCAGCCCGTCACCTAGCTTTCTTTATTTTTTTTTTTTTATTTTATTTTATTATTAAATGAGAAATGTGTGCTCATTGTTTAAAAAAAAAATTTTTTTTTAGTACTACAAAAATTCAGAGAATAAAAAGCGAAAATTCCTCTTTACCCGCCCCCCGCCATATTCCCACTAACCTCCAAGAGGTAAGTATAGTAACCACTCTCGAGTGTGTCCTTGATCTGTCTTAAGTTCTGAGGTAGTGTCAAAGATGCATAAAATATGGCCCAACAATTTTGTTTTTTTTTCGTATTGATTGTCTTCATTTTTAATGAGGTTCAATTTTTTCGTTCTTCCGTACTTTTTTTGAGATTTAAAGATTGTTTTGATAAATTATTTGGAACTGTAGAAATAGCGTTGCTGATATAAATTTTTTTAAGAAAAGGAAAGGACATTTAAAATGCTGGAGCAGAACTTAAGTCTTTTTTTTTTTTGTAGTTTAAGTTTAATTTTCTAATCTCTTTGAAATAACAGCATATATTATTTACTGAGCTATGACAAGTAAATGCAATAGGGGATTCTGGTCTAGATTTTGGTAGTAGAGGGGGAAAAATGCTATAAAGGACAATAATAGGTCTGTTAACAAAACTGGACTATGGGTGATATTTTTTTTTAACCATGTTAAATTTTCTGAAGTTGATAACTTACCTGATTTTATAAGAAAATTTTTTTTTTCTTAGGAAATCAAGTATTTAGAAGTGTGATATAAGTAACTTATTCCTAGTTGTTTTTTTTTGGCCAGTATTTAGAGAGATGATAAAGCAAATGGGACATTTAACAATGAGGGAATCCAGGTAAAGGGCATACTATTCTTGCCACTTTTCTGTAAACTGGAAATTATTTTTAAACAAATAGTTTAAAGTTACTATTTATTCAAGAGATTACTGTCTTAGGTAGACGTGACAAAGTCTTTTTTTTTCCTGTTGTAGTATTTGCTTAGCAGAACTGCCCTTCTATTGTAGTTCATTGCAAAATCAAATTCAACTCAGGAGTGGTTGAATTTTTAATAGATTCCAAGTTGCAAGAATTTTCTTTTTTTTTGACTAATAATCAAATACTAGTTATAATCTGCAACAAAAACTAGTTCAAAAATCCTTTAATTGTGGATATTTTTGTGGCTGAATTCACAAAAAAGGAATTGTTTTAAATGTTTCTTTTTTTTTTCTGTAAGGCCTCTTTGCAAGAAAGAGGGTGACAGTCAGCATTTGTTGAACATTTTTTTTTCATGTCCTTTGAGTATAGCATCTCACTTAATCCTTACAACAGTGCTACAGACTTTTTTTTTCATCATTGTTTCACAGATCAAGAAACTGAGACATAGAAAAAAGCTTAGGGGCGCCTGAGTGGCTCAGTTGTTAAGCGTCTCCCTGCTCAGCAGGAGGCCTGATTCTCCTTATCTTTTTTTTTCGGCTTGTGTTCCCTCTCTCGCTGTCTCTCTGTCAAATAAATAAATAAAATCTTTTTTTTTAAAAAAGTTTATTTTCCCAACTAATAACTGAGAGTCAGTTATCCTAAACCACTTTTTTTTTACACACTTATTGTGTTTTTTGTTTACTGGAGAACCATGAACTGCTTCAGTGGGCAAAGCTAAGAAGCACGTTTAAACCCAAACCGAAATTTTGGTAATTCCAAGTTTAGAGAACCAGAGATTTTTATAATCCTTTACATAAAAGACCAGTGATAACGTTTGATGAAACTAGTTGTTTTTTTTTAATGATTTATCAGTTGGGTAGGTGGAATATATCTCCTTGAGTCCCCCAGAATCAGTGAGTGACTCAGGGGCCACTGCCCATGTTGAAGAGCCTTTCTTTCCTAACCCCCCCCCTTTTTTTTTTAAATGAAGCTGTTCAGTTTCCCTGCACAATATGAACTACAAATATCTACTTTTTTTTTTTTGGTTGTTTAGCCTTAGCTAGTGTTCCATCTGTAGCCCAAGAGGAAGACTTCACTAATGAGGCTTTAAAAATCCGAGTCCAGGAATGCCTGGGTGGCTCATTTGGTTAAGCGATTTTTTTTTTGGCTCAGGTCATGATCTCAGGGTCCTGGGATTGAGCCCTCATCAGGCTCCCTTTTTTTTTGAGAGCCTGCTTCTCCCTCTCCCCCTGCTGCTCCCCGTGCTTGTGCGCTCTCTTTTTTTTTCTCTCTGTGTCTCTCTCTCAAATAAATAAAATCTTTAAAAAAGAAAGATTAATGTTTTATAAAGAAAATCAGAGAGTCCAACTTTTAACTATATGTTAAAATAATTTTCCTGATTTAATAATGGTAGCAAAAATCTTGTACATGTATTACATGAAGTCACTATCAAAATATGTGTTTTTTTTTAAATATGTGAATATATGAAATATGCATGTGTCCTTACATGAAGATGCAAAGGAAAAGATTTGAAAGGATGACCACTTAGTCGCCTATGAGGAACTTAGAAATGATTGTATCTAAAACTTTAATAACAAGCAGCTACTCAGGAATTACTTTTATAATCTCTGTATTTTAAAAATTTTTTTTTTTAAGAAAATTCGTGTCGGAAAGATCATGATAGTAATATGTTATCAAGAAATATTTTACTGGGGCACCTGGGTGGCTCAGTCGTTAAGCATCTACCTTCGGCTCAGGTCATGATCTTTTTTTTTTGGGATCGAGCCCCGCATCGGGCTCCCTGCTCCACAGGAAGCCTGCTTCTCCTTTTTTTTTTCCCCCTGCTTGTGTTCCCTCTCTCGCTGTGTCTCTCTCTAATAAATTTAAATTTTTTTTTAATTTTTTTTAAAAATATTTTACTTAGGGGTGCCGGGGTGGCGCAGTCAGTTGAGCGTCCAACTCTTGGTTTCAGCTCAGATAGTGATCTCAGGGTCGTGAGATCGCTCAGCATTTTTTTTTCCGGGCACAGTGTGGTGTCTGAGAGTCTCTCTCCCCCACCTCTTCCGCTCGTTTTTTTTTTCTCTAAAGTAAATAAATCTTTTTTTAAAAAGATAAGTATTTTACTTAAATGAATGTTCCTTATGACTAAATCTTGCCTTTGAAGTGCCAGATTTTTCAAGTTTTATTAATACTTTTTTTTTTAAGTACTTAGAAATTGGGCGCCTGGATGGCTCAGTCGTTAAGCGTCTGCCTTCGGCTCTGGTAACAATCCCAGTATCCTGGGATCGAGCCCCACATCGGGCTCCCAGCTCAGTGGGGAGCCTGCTTCTCTTCGTGCTTGCGCGCACTCTCTCTCTATCAAATAAATAAATAAAATTTTTTTTTAAAAAAGAATTTCACATATTGCCCCATCTTGTTAAAACAAGTATATTGAATATTTTTTTTTGATGGGTTAGCCTGGTGATGGGTATTAAAGAGGGCACGTTCTGCATGGAGCATTTTTTTTTATACGCAAACAATGAATCATGGAACACTACATCAAAAACTAATGATGTAATGTTTTTTTTTTAACGTAACATAAAAAAAAAGAACAAAAAAATGTATATAATTTACCTTTTCCTTTTTTTTTTCTCATCATTCTATCATCTGGTTAACTGAGCTTAAATAAAGTCATGTATTCATTTTTTTTTTCCTAGTACTAGTATTTTGCATATGCTGCTCTCTGCTTTGAAATACCCTTTCTTTTTTTTTGCTTTGTGATTCCTGCTTAGTCTTTATTTTTATTTTTTTAAGTACGCTCCACACCCAGCATGGAGCCCAATGTGTGACTTGAACTCATGACTCTGAGGTTGAGACCTGAGCTGAGATCAAGTGTTGGATGCTTAACTGACTGAGCCGCCCAGGCGCCCCAAATTCCTACTTAGTCTTTAATACACACTTAGACGTCTTGAACTCTAATGACAGACCCCTGCTTACCAAGTTACAGTTTTTTTTTCCCACTATTCTTTTAAAACTCCATTACTTATTGGGTCACATAAATATTTGTTTTTTTTTTTGTCTTCCTTAGGCCTCAGACTCCTTGTGGGCAGGGTCTCTGTTACACATTAGTTTTTTTTTATAGCACCTAGAAATATATTCAGTTGTAAGTAACCCAATGAAGAGAACTTCATTTTTTTTTGGAGATATTCTTCTCACACGAAAGAAACCAGACGTAGGTATTTGCTCAGCACTTTTTTTTTACCATCTAGGACCCAGCTTCCTTGTCTTTGCTCTCTGCCATCCTAAGTGTATTTTTTTTTTTATTCAGGCTTGTTATAAGATGGTTAACACTTTTAGATAATGTTAACATTTTTTTTTTTTTTTTTAGATAAAGGTCCTCCCTTGAAGGCAGAAAGTATTTCCAACTGCCTCTTCCCTTTTGATCAGGAAGAGGGAAGGCTATGCTTGAAGCCACCCCTAGGTCTTATTGGCTGTTTTTTTTTTCTGGCACATAGTAAAGTGTGCAAAGAATATTTGAAGAATGGCTGACTAGCCCTTTTTTTTTTATACAAGGCTCTTTGCTGACATTGAGAATTCCCAGACTGCTGTGATTTTTATTTTTTTTTAAGATTTTATTTATTTATTCATGAGAGACAGAGGGGGAGAGAGAGAGGGAGATTTTTTTTTCCAAGGAGTAGGGAGCCCGACGCAGGACTCGATCCCAGGACCCCAGGATCATTTTTTTTTTCAAAAGCAGACGCTCAACCATCTGAGCCACCCAGGCGCCCGACTGCTGTGTTTTTTAATGTACTTCTGTTTTTCCTGGTCTTTATTTTTTCCCTCCCTATCTTGACATTATTATTCTTTGTGTCCTTGCTTCTATCCTGCTGCCTTATTACTACACCTGATTAAGAGCTTAAGGAGTAAAGCCCATGCGGTTTCAAGTGTTGCTCTCTACTTGATTTCATTCTTTCTATACCTGTGTAATTTTCAGCATAATCAAGCTATAGAACTTTTTTTTTTTAAGATTTATGTATTGAGAGAGTGAGCATGCGCAGGGGGAAGGGGCAGAGAGGGAGAGAATCTTGAGCAGACTGCCTGCTGAGCACGGAGCCCAATGCCCAACACGGGGCTTGATCCCATGACCCTAAGATCATGACCCTAGCCAAAATCAAGAGTCAGACGCTTAACCGACTGAGCCACCCAGGTGCCCCAAGCTATAGAACATTTTTTTTTTCCCAGAAAATATGTTTAATCTTTGAAACAAATTTTAATGAAGTTTATACTGTTCAACAAGTGGGTTAAATAGGAACTTTAGGGTTCTTTAGGATGTGACTTACGTTATTTCACAATAACATTTTTATTAGCTTTTGGGTGATTAATTATCACATAGTTAAAATCCCTTGGGGGTTTTTTTTTAGACTGCACTATAAAAGGCCCCCCAGATGGTGTTCATGATAAGAAAAAACACTTTGGTCAAATCTTTTTTTAATTTAGTATGATATTATCAGGACTAAAACAGAAAATGAGCCTTTTTTTTTAAGATGCTGAGATTCATTCTTTCAAGGACTGAAATTTATTTTAATAATTGCATTTTTTTTTTCCTAAAATATATTTTTTCATGCCTTCTTAATCAGATTACTGTTTGTTTAATTTTTTTTTTCTCTTGTTAATTCAGCACCATTGCACTGGATTATTCATACTCATCAGTTTTTATATTATACATTGATATCCCCGTTGTATGTCAGATTGTTTTAATTCTATTTGAATGACTTGTTTTTTTTTTAAACTTCTGGTTTTGCTTTTTGTATTTTTTCTCCCATTGATAGAGACTTATTTTTTTTTTTATGCTGGCCATGGGCATCCCTCACACATCGTTTTTGGTTTTGGTTTTTGTGTTTTTTCCTTGCACCTCCTTTTTAAGGTAGTAACACCTATTTGATGTAAACTTAAAAAGTCTTTTTTTTTGTGGCTTGCACAAGATGTCCTATTAGGGTGAGAGAAAAAATACTGAGAATTCTTTTTTTTTTTTTTTTTTTTTTTTAAGATTTTATTTATTTATTTGAGAGAAGAGAATGAGATTTTTTTTTAGAGGGGGTAGGGTCAGAGGGAGAAGCAGACTCCCTGCTGAGCAGGGAGCCCAATGTGGGACTCGATCCTGGGACTCCAGGATCATGACCTGAGCTGAAGGCAGTTGCTTAACTTTTTTTTTCACCCAGGCGCCCTCCACAACTTTTTATCTCATTCTTTTTAATTTCTAATTTTTTTTTTTTTTATAATGTATATAATATAACATTAGTACAGTAATACACTTTTACAACATACTTTTTTTTTGTTGGTTTCATGTGCAAAATTTTTTTTTTTACTGCTAGAGAGTCTATGATCAAAGAAGACTACAAGACTAGGGGCACCTGGGTGGCTCAGTCGTTGGGCGTCTGCCTTCGGCTTTTTTTTTTATCCCAGGGTCCCGGGATCGAGCCCCACATCGGGCTCCCTGCTCGGCGGGAAGCCTGCTTCTCCCTCTCCCACTCCCCCTGCTTGTGTTCCCTCTTTCGCTGTTTCTTAGTCTTTTTTTTTTATAAAATCTTTTTAAAAAAAAGACTACAAGACTAGAAAACTGAAGTAATTTCTTTCCTAATTTCCGTTTCTTTTTCAGGGGCTCCTTTTTTCTTTCTTTTTATGGTAGCCTAATTTTTTCATGCATGCAGTGTTCTTATGTCTCAGAGAATGTTATTTATAGTTCTTTGTTGTTTTTTTTTTTTGTTACCTGTGATCCCTTTATCTTTTAGATTTGTAGTTTTTGTTTGGTCTCTTTTTTTTTTCTTAAAGGACTGATTATCCATGTTGGCCATTCATATTGGAGTGAGCCCTAAAAAGCTAATTAGAACACCTGTGTAGGGCTTGTCCCTAATGGATCCCTATAAGTGTTCTGCTGAGAGATTGCAGCCTGGCTGTTAGGATATTGGAGGTAAAAGAAAAGGAGGTGGGGTGGAGTTAAGAAGGAAATTTCCTTTTAATTTCCATGATTTTATTCTAGCACCTCACCCCTCCTCTCTGTTTTTTTTTATGTCTAGACCTCTCCAGAGACTAAGCCTCATGTGTCCCGTCATGACTGAGGAGAGAGAGTTGTTGATGCTGCTCCTCTTTTCAGCTCCCCAGCCTTTTTCTGAGGTGCTTCAGATTTCTGAGCCTTACAGGACTCTGTAGGGCAGGTTGCTTGACTTTTCAACCATGACTCTCTTTTTTTTTCACACAGCAAAGCAGAGGAGGGGCAAACCTAAGGCATTTACCATTCCTCTGTTTTTTTTTTCATGGTGCTCTTCTAGTTTCATCGCAGGTAGAGTTTGGTGTCTGTTTTTATTCTCTTTGTTTGAAGTAACTGTTAGGTTTAAAAAGCAGATTACAGAATAATCTGGACAGCTCAGTTAACCAAGAACATACTTTTTTTCTTTTTAAGATTTTATTTATTTATTTGACAGAGAGATTTTTTTTTAGAGCAGGAACACAAGCAGGGGGCGTGGGAGAGGGAGAAGCAGACTCCCCGCCGAGCAGGGAGGCCAATGTGGGGCTCGATCCCAGGACCCTGGGATCATGACCTGAGCCGAATTTTTTTTTCTAACGGCTGAGCCACCCAGGAGCCCCGAACATATTTATTTTTAGTTTGGCCTTTTTTTTTTTGTTTTTATAACAAAACAAATATATAGAGAGACGCAATGTACATTAAAAAGTTTTTTTTTGTTTATATGCCAAGATATTAATAGTAGTTATGTGGATGGTGAGTTGTTTGGTTTTTTTGTTTCATTTTTTTAAATGAGTATCTGTGGTTTTTATAATGATCCCTATTGTATAATTTTTTTTTCAGAGTTCCTTGTGATTTTAATGATACTGAAACTTGTTTCTGCTTTTATTTTTTTTTTTTTCAAAATATATTGTGTTACTATGTTTCACTAAATTTTTGAAGGCTGTGGGACTTTTTGAATCATATGATCTCCTAAAAGCAGTTCACATTGTTCAGTTCATTTTTATATTAAAATTTTTTTTTGTGTCTGTGGTTCTTTTTTCCTTAATGTTTTATTTATTTGAAACTTCTGTTTTTTTTTTTTATCTTTAGGAAATTTTAGATAAAATATTTTGTGCTATTTATTCCTCCTTATATTTTTTTTTCAAAACTAGACTTGTACTATAGTTTGTGTTAAAGAGGTTTTTGCACATTTCTTTTTTTTTTAAAGATTTTATTTATTTATTTGAGAGAGAGAGAATGAGAGATAGAGAGCACAAGACGGAAGAGGATCAGAGGGAGAAGCAGGCTTCCTGCATGAGCAGGGAGCCCGACGTGGGGCTCGATCCCAGGACCCTGGAATCATGACCTGAGCTGAAGGCAGCGGTTTAACCAACTGAGCCACCCAGGCGCCCCTCCCTGCACATTTCTTTTAATGTTCAGCTTAACAGAGGATTGCTGAATTTTCACATCCGTTTCAGCATTCAGTCTATGCAGAATCTCCTATCAGTTAGCTTCTGAAGAGCTCCACTGTACACCCCTGAGAGAGTAAGAGTGTAAAGGGCAGATAATTTCTTAGTATTTTCATAAAAATAGTTTTGACCCCACAGTCTCCCTCAAAGAGTCTCCAGGCCCTAGGAATTCCCAAACCATACCACTGGTGTAGTTCGGCCTTCCAGCAGGCATAGAATGTAACCTAAGACTTGTCTTGGCACAGATGTTCCTTATTTTCTAAGTTAAACTGTGCTGGGCTTTGTTCACGATGTGCTCCCTTCACAGAAGAGGGTCCTCATATAAAATGAATTTTACATTATTCTGCACGTAGTAAGAAATTCTCTCTGAATAAAGTTTCTTTGGACTTGAGATTGATAGTGACCACTCTCTGTTAATAAAAGTCTGTTAAAGACTCCAGGGAGTTAATTTTAGTAATTATGGAAAGTGATTCTTGACTAGGAAATTTTAAGTAATCAGTTGTATGCATTTTTATATAACCATTTTGGGAATGTGAAAGGTAAGGACATTTTTAATTTCTGGTATTTCAAGATTTGTTATTAAGTTTTGGAGAAGATAGGAATTTTTTTTTTTTTTTTTGTATTTCAAAGTATGAAAAAATACCAAGACCCCTTTCTTTTATGGCTTGTGAACTGGTTCTGAAGCCTTTACAAAATAAGAGTTCCCCAGATGTTCCAATGGAAGCCTTAGTAGAATAAATACTGTTCTCCAGTATAATTTTTTTAGATGGTAACATACCTTTCGAGTTGTAGTATGTTCGTTTAAAGTGAGTATCTTTACTTAACATCACACTTTGTATATAAAATAGATTAATTTTAATATATTAATGTTTCCTTATTCACAGGACTGCATTTTTTATGGTTTTGTTTCAAAAGCCATTTTCTTCTGGGAAAAGTATTACCAAACACCAGGTGAGTTTTTTCCACAATCCTTTTTTCCTAGCAGCTTCCTAGTTAGGCCAGGAGAAGTGCTCTTTCGTTGATCAGAGTTACTTAAATGATTTAAGTACACAGCAGAACATTTCCATAGTTAAGTTGCTATTGACTTGCTTTTCAGTATCGAGGCTTCAAGAATAAACTGTGTATTAAGATAACAGAATGTTTAAAAATGGAGAAGAGTAGAAAAATTTTAAGGTATAAAGTAATTTTTTTTTTAATGTAGGACTCTATTCTAAAGATTTCTAAATTTGACGCGGAGACATGCCCAAAAGCCTAGGACAAATGTCATTAGGAGGCAGATAAAGCATAGGGGTTAAGACTGAGGACTCTCAAGTCAGACAAATTCAGATTCTCTTTGTCCTCCTTACAAAGTCTTACTTTGAGCAAGTTACTAATTCTTCTCTACCTCAATTTTCTCAGCTGTAAAATGGAGCTAATAATACCTTTGTAATGGAGCTGTGAGGAATGAATGAGGTAATACATATAAAGTTCCTGAAATAGTGCCCAGCATATAGTCAGCAAACAATACATATTAGTTGTCACCCTCATCATCATTATTTTCTTTAGATACCTGAGGTTCAGGATGCATACCAGAAATGTCTTGTATTCTGTATTGTCACCTCACATTATTATCTCTTTGGAGAGTCGTTAAACCATACTATGTGCTTGCTTTGTGCAGCAACTTAGAAACCTGTGCCATGACTTTTTATTAGAATGACAAATTTATGTACCTCTGTTTTAGAGACCATGCATGTTTTAAAAATAGGATTAACATTTTAATCCCCATCGTAGCTTTTTTTCTCTCTTTTCAAGTAACTGAAGCTCTGAATATCTGATGGAAAAGAATTTAAAGACTAAAACATCACGTGTTCTAGCAAACTAGTGAGAAACTATTGAAAAAAACCCACAAATTTGTATTTTATAGAAAAAGATTTCAAGATCTAACAGCAGACAAGAATATAGAAAATGGAAAACAGAATACTGTCTTACAAATCTAGATTTAGTCAAGGGATCTTAACATTTTCTTTTTAAGTTCAAAATATGTGATTATTTTTAAAAATGTAATTATTTAGCCTTTAAAATATCTAAGTGCTACCATTATTTTCTTTCCCTGTATATTTTATTTAAGATTTTGAGATACTAGCAAGATACGACTAAAATTTTTAACTTTTTGTTTCTGTTCATAGTGGATCAAAATATTTAAACATGCAGTTGCTGGGTGTATCATTTCACTCTTGTGGTTTTTTGGCCTCACTCTTTGTGGACCACTAAGGTAAATAAAAATGCGTATTTTGAATGTTTATTTATATTTCTTAATTTTGAATATTAGTTTTATTCCATTATATTTTATGTCAAGTATTTATGTTGTTATATGCAAATGCTTCTCTCACTCCTATAGCATTGGATACAACTCAATACTTATTTATATGGGGGGGCTGACAAAACCTGTTTAATTTGTGGACTATCTTTTGGTGAACACTAAATGTATTGTTCATGATCTGTTGTGATATTTTACTAGTTAAGAGTTCAAACAGTTTCAGAAAATTTTTAACATAGGTGGTTTTTTATCATCCATTGGTGATCCCTTTTAGCAACTGATTTTAGAAACTAAAAGGTGTGAAATGGTAAATAAAAACCAGTAGGAAAGCAAAATTTGGGGGGCACCTGGGTGGCTCAGTCAGTTAAGTGTCTGCCTTTGGCTCAGGTCATGATCCCAGGGTCCTGGGATTGAGCCCCAAGTTGGGCTATCTACTTACTGGGGAGCCTGCTTCTCCAGCTCCTTCTGCCTGCTTATGCGCGCGCTCTCTCTCTCAAATAAATAAAATCTTGGGACACCTGGGTGGCTCAGTCAGTTAAGCATCTGCCTTCGGCTCAGGTCATGATCTCAGGGTCCTGGGATCAAGTCCCACATCGGGCTCCTGGCTCAATGGAGAGTCTGCTTCTCCCTCTACCTTTTCCCCCTGCTTGTGATCTCACACTCTCTTTCTCTCTCTCTCTCACTCAATAAATAAAATCTTTTTTTTAAAGAATTTCTTTCCTGTGAGATTATATTTTGTTCTGTATGTTATTAAATCACTGTCCCTATGTGTTAGGGAAGAAAGGCAGAAAATTGTTAAATTCTTACTTGACTCCTTATTTAGTCTTATATTTCCCATCTTACAACCCATCACTACCACCAGCTCCTCTATCAACACTGCCCCTCTCATTCTTTTATTAAAACCATCAGGAGCCTCTGGGTGGTTCAGTTGGTTAAGTCTTCAGCTCTTGATTTCAGCTCAGGCCATTATCTCAGGCTCCTGAGATCAAGCACTGCATTGGGCTCTGTGCTCAGCATGGAGACTGCTTGTCCCTCTCCCTCTGCTCCTTCCCCCTCTTGTGCACTCTCTCTCTTAAATAAATTAATTTAAGAAACAAACAAAAACAGGGGTGCCTGGGTGGCTCAGTTGGTTAAGCGGCTGCCTTCAGCTCAGGTCATGATCTCAGGGTCCTGGGATCCGAGCCCCGCATCCGGCTCCCTGCTCAGTGGAGAGCCTGTTTCTCCCTTTCCCTCTGCCAGCCGCTCTGCCTACTTATGCTCTGTCTGTGTCAAATAAAATCTTTAAAAAAAAAAAAAAACAGCCATCATGCAGGGGTGCCTAGGTGGCTCGGTCGATTAAGTATCTAACTCTTGATTTCAGCTCAGGTCTTGATGTCAGGGTCATGAGATCGAGCCCTCATCAGGCTCTGTGCTGGGTGTGGAGCCTGCTTGGGATTGTCTCTCTATCCTTCTCCCTCTACCCCCCATCCCCATTTGCATAAGTGTGTGCTTGCTTTCTCTCAAAAAAGAAAAGAATTGCATGATTTTCTTTTTGAGGGAGGGGCAGAGGGAGAGAGAGAATCTTAAATAGGCTCCCCACCCAGGTTGGAACCCCATGCTGGGCTCCATCTCACAACCCAGAGACCATAACCTGAGCCAAAATCAAGAGTCGGACACCTAACCAACTGAGCCACCCAGATGCCCCATGCAATTTCTTGATTAGAAAGACTCCTTAGGTGTTCCGTAGCCTGTCTTATTTTAGGTTGGAATTACTTTGCTGATATATTTATTTTCTTAAATTGTATCTCACAGTTATTAATAGAATTAAAGTTAGCACTGCTGTGTTCTGTTACAGATTTTTGAGTAAAGAGGAAAAATGAAAATTTTTTTAAAAAGCAGCTAAAAATCTTAATATTTAGATTCTATAAGCCCTGTTTTGGCTGGTGATAATGTTTTTCAGGGTTTTTTTTTTTGGTTTTTAAGATTTTATTTATTTGTCAAAGAGAGAGAAAGCACAAGCAGGGGAGGCGGCAGGCAGAGGGAGAAGCAGGGTGGGGAGCCCAATGCGGGACTTGATTCCAGGACCCTGGGATCATGACCTGAGCCAAAATCAAGAATTGGAAGCTTAGGGGCGCCTGGGTGGCTCAGATGGTTAAGCGTCTACCTTCGGCTCAGGTCATGATCCCAGAGTCCTGGGATCGAGCCCTGCATCAGGCTCCCTGCTCAGCGGAGATCCTGCTTCTCCCTTTCCTTCTCCTGCTCCCTCTGCTTGTGCTCTCTTGCTCTGTCAAATAAATAAATAAAATCTTAAAAAAAAAAAAAAAAAAAAAGAATTGGAAGCTTAACCAACTGAGCCACCCAGGTGCCCCATAGACTGGGTGGCTTTTAAACCACACAAATTTATTTCTTAGTTCTGGAGACTAGGAAGTCTAATATCAAGGTGAGGCAGACTGTCCGGTGAGGGACTGCTTCCTGGTTCGTAGACAGCTATCTTTTCTCAATAACCTCACAGAGCAGAATGGGCAAAGAGAATACTCTTGTAGTCTTTTTTTATGAGGACTCTAATCTCACTCATGAAGGAGGGTTCCACCCTCATGACCTATGCACCCCAAAGGCCCCAATTCCAAACACCATCACACTGGGGATTGCGTTTAACATATGAATTTAGGGGGGACTCAAACATGCAGTCTATACCAGATTTAAAGTGTACAATTCACGGGCACCTAGGTGGCTCGGTTGGTTAAGTGTCTGCCTTCGGCTCAGGACATGATCCCAGGGTTTTGGGATCAAGTCCTACATAGGGCTCCTTGTTCAACAGGAAGCCTGCTTCTCCCTCTCCCTCTGCCTGCTGCTTCCCCTGCTTGTGCTCGCTCTCTCTCTCTGTCAAATAAATAAATAAAATATTTAAAAAATAAACCATTCTCTTAAAAAATAAAAAGTGTACAATTCAGCATTTCTTAATATATTCATAGAATATCATTCATTTCTATTGCTGTACAATAGTCTATTGAATGGATATATTCTATATTATTCTCTTACCAGTGACATTTAGGTTGGGGCTACTGCAAACATAGCTGATGGGAGCAACCTTCTAAGTGTTTCTTCGTACACGTATGCAAGAAATTGATGTGATATAATCCTACAAGTTGTACCATTTCAGCTTCTTTTTTTCTCCTCTTTTTTTTTCTTTTAATTAAATAAGCTCCATGCCAAACATGGGGCTTGAACTCACCACCGAGATCAGGAGTGGGGTGCTCTACCAACTGAGCCAGCCAAGTGCCCCTAGTCTCAGCCTTTCTGAGGTAGATAAGGCCAAAAGATAGATTATTCCAAAGCAGTTGTCCCTATTTATTTTTCTCAGTGTTTTATGAAATCAAGGGGAAATATTTATTTTCTCTTACTGTAGTTGAATTCATGCTTCTTGGTGAAGATCAGATATATTTTATGAATGATAATATTGTATTTTTATAGGACTTTGCTGCTATTTGAACACAGTGATATTGTTGTCATCTCACTACTCAGTGTTTTATTCACTAGTTCTGGAGGAGGACCAGCAAAGGTACAATTTTCTGTTATTAGACACTTGAAAATTGGAAGTTATACATGTAAAATATTATCCAAACCAATTAAATAAAATCTTTACCATTTAAAAGAATGCAGGGGCTTTTTCTGTTAATTTTAACTTTTTCTTAGAACCTTTTTTTTTTACTTTTTATTCTGAAATCATCATATATTCATAGGAGGTTGCAAAAATAGCACCAAGAGTGCCCTTCACTCAGTTTCAATGGTAATTTCTTACCCAACTCAAGTACATTATCAAAACCAAGAAATTGGGGCGCATGGGTGGCTCAGTGGTTAAGCGTCCGCCTTCGGTTCGGGTCATGATCCCAGGGTCCTGGGATCAAGCCTCGCATCGGGCTCCCTGCTCAGTGGGAAGCCTGCTTCTCTCTCTCCCACTCCCCCTGCTTGTGTTCCCTCTCTTGCTGTGTCTCTCTGTCAAATAAATAAATACATAAAATCTTAAAAACAAAACTAAGAAATTGACATTGGTATAATCCATAGACCTATTCAAGACACAGAACAGATTGATCACCACAGACATCTCCATCGTGCTGTACCCAGGCCTCTTACCCACCTCATTCTTTTTTTTTTTTTTTTAAGATTTTTATTTATTTATTTGACAGAAACCCAGTGAGAGAAGGAACACAAGCAGGAGGAGTGGGAGAGGGAGAAGCAGGCCTCCCGCAGAGCAGGGAGCCCGACGCGGGGCTCAATCCCAGGACCCTGGGATCATGACCTGAGCCAAAGGCAGATGCCTAATGACTGAGCCACCCAGGCGCCCCCGCCCACCTCATTCTTTACCCTTATTCATCATTTTTGGAAAACACCTAAGAACTTGTTATAAAGTCTGATGAATATCCAGCATTTTGCCAACTAGGCCTTATTTAAGTAACTTAAGTATTATCCTTTTTTTGTAAATGAGTCAAGAATCTGCAATTCCAAATTTTTATACCTACAGTATTTCTTTTTTACCAAAGTGTTTGCTGTGCATGATGCATTGTCCCAATTACAGGGGAAAGGAGAAATAAAGACAAATAAGATGTAGTAGTCCCTGTTGCTCCCAAGTAATGGAGGCAGATGAATAAAATTAAGTGAACAAAATAACATGCCAAGTAGAGCAGAGAGACTACCCAACCCATAGATTTCAAATGGGATAATTAATATTAAAGCATATGCCACTGTTTATTTCATCTTACTCATAGAGTACTCCAAAATAAATGTCAACTAGATTGAAGCGTTTTATGGATAAAAATAAATATATAATATAAAATAGTCTTTTTTTTTTAGATTTTACTTATTTATTTGAGACAGAATGAGAGAGAGAGAGAGAGAGAGCACATGAGAGGGGGGAGGGTTCAGAGGGAGAAGCAAGACTCCCTGCCGAGCAAGGAGCCCGATGCGGGACTCGATCCAGGGACTTCAGGATCATGACCTGAGCCAAAGGCAGTCACCCAACCAACTGAGCCACCCAGGCGCCCCAAAATAGTCTTAATATAGTATAATAATACATAAAATATATGTAAATATATGTAAATATGCAACATTCAATACAAATATATGTATAAAGTAATGTATGTAAATGTGATATACTATAATATGTAAAATAATATAAATAGAGCTATAAATGTGGTAATATAAAAAACATCATATGTAATATAAAATATAGATGGATAATTACAAGCAAAGAACTCTCTGAGCATAAAAGCAGTGGGAAAAAATCACAATGGGAAAACTCAGTACATTTGACTTCATAATGATTATAAGTTTCTGTGTAACAGAAATCGTTGTGCAGACAACAGCCAACAACAGAAAATTACCACAAGTAAAAGTTTTACATTTCTTTCAAAATATAAATTAGTAAAGTCAGTTAAGAAAAATGCGTAAGATTCTCAATAAAAATGAGCCAAGGGCAGCAAAAGGCAACTCACAAAAGAAATACAAATGTTTTTAAAACATTAAAAAAAAAAAATATGGGAACCCTTGGATGGCACAGTCGATTAAGCCTTGACTCTTGGTTTCAGCTCAGGTCATGATCTCAGGGTCGTGAGATTGAGCCCCATGTTGGCTCCTTGTTCAGTATGGAGTCTGCTTGAGACTCTCTCCCTCTGCCCCTCCCCCCCTTTCTCTCAAATAAGTCTTTTAAGAATATAATTTAAAATAAATAAAAATTTTGCTGCACTAATACTCAGAAATTAGAATATAAATCATACATGTCGTGCCATTAGTGTCTGTAATGAATCTGAGCATCTATTCAGGACACAGCATGTTTTTTTCTTCGTTATGACTGAAGCACTACAGAATTCTCAGTTGCCCTCTTTAACAAAAGATTAAATTCTATTCTCCATATCTGGATATTGTTGATACTGTCACTGTCATTCTAATATAATGAAAATTATGAAACTTAAAATTGTGTGGTTTATGTATACTGGCTTTTGTCAAGATATCCATCTACCACACTAAGAGAATTTATCAAGTGTAGTGGTAATCATGTTAATGAATAGAATAGATTCTCTCTTTAAATTTTAACTTTTATTTAATGAAAGTATGTGGCAGTATACCTGTACATTTATAAATACAGAATGTATAATAATGCTATTTAGATGGCTTTTATACCCAAAATTCTGAAGTATTTGCATGAACTAGGCAGTATGTTCTTCCTGATTTTCTTTTGTCAACATCCTTTCCTGGGGTGAGAATATAAACTTATAAAAAATTCATCAGCTTTTAAATGCTCTATATGAGAAATGACTTTGGGGGGCCTGGGTGGCTCAGTCGTTAGGTTCGGGTCGTGATCCTAGAGTCCTGGGATTGAGCCCCGCCGTCAGGTTTCCTGCTCAGCGGGAAGCCTGCTTCTCCATCTCCCACTCCGCCCCCCACCCCCGCTTGTGTTTCCTCTCTCGCTGTCTCTCTCTCTGTCAAATAAATAAATAAAATCTTTAAAAAAAAAAAAAAAGAAGAGAGGGGGCGCCAGGGTGGCTCAGTCTTAGTTAAGCGTCTGCCTTGAACTCAGGTCATGATCCAGGGGTCTTGGATCAAGCCCCACATAGGGCTCCCTGCTCAGTGGAGAGCCTGCCTCTCTCTCTCTTCCTCTGCTGCTCCCCCTGCTTGTGATAAATAAAATCTTAAAAAAAAAAATACTGCAAATTTATATTGTATAGTAGAAGGGCTTTAATGTGAGATGTTATTTTTTCTTTAAATATTTATATGAAAAACATTTTTCTTTAGCATTTGTATAGTCATGGTCTTAAAAATCAACTCTTAAAAAGCCATCCTTGGTAATATTTTCTTCATTTTCAGACAAGAGGGGCTGCTTTTTTCATTATTGCTGTGATCTGCCTATTGCTTTTCGACAATGATGATCTCATGGCTAAAATGGCTGAACACCGTATCCTTTTGCAATAGATTGGAGTAATTTAGTCTTGCAGAAAAATAGAAGACGGGCAGAATGGGACAAGAAGGAGGATTGAATTAAAATCCGTCATGAATGAAACTTCCATGGATTATTGTAGGTATTCAAGTAATGAAGAAATTTATTCCAAACTAAATATTTTATAGCATCTCCATCAATATCTTCTACAGGGACAGTGAAAGAATATTTGAGAATGTCCTGGTGCTTAAAAAAAAATTTTTTTTTATTTGCCAGTCAACAAAATCACTCTGTTGGCTCCCTTGTAATAAATTCAACGATTTAAATGCTCAGTTTAGAAGTCAGTTGCAGGGGCGCCTGGGTGGCTCAGTCGTTAAGCGTCTGTCTGCCTTCGGCTCAGGTCATGATCCCAGCGTCCTGGGATCGAGCCCCGCATCGGGCTCCCTGCTCGGCGGGAAGCCTGCTTCTCCCTCTCCCCCCTTGCTTGTGTTCCCTCTCTCGCTGTGTCTCTCTCTGTCAAATAAATAAGTAAAATCTTTAAAAAAAAAAAAAAAAAAAAGTCAGTTGCAATTACTAAATACAAACTTCTTTAAAGTTTAATGAAAAATCTTTGGCATCTTCTTGCCTGAAAGAAAAAGCTGAAATTCCTTCACCTGGCAATCACTCTCTTGCTCTAAACTGTTATTTCTAGTTGAGCTTCCACTATTCTATAACCCCAACTTTCCAGTCAAATATGTATACTCATTTTCCTCTACAGACATACCTTGTTCTTTCCTGTCCTTACACCTTTGCCCACTCCATTTAGCTGACCTTAGAACACCAGTTTTGATATTTCTGGTTACTTATACTGTCCTTAAAGCTTGTCAGTTAAAAATAATAGTTTACTTTGTTATAGTAAAAGAGAGTGGTGTGACTTTGCAGAATTCCCGGTTGCTTGTGATATGCCACCCCTGCCCCTTTCTCCTTGCTACTTGCTTTACTGAGGCTTATGTGGTCAGTGATTTAGAAACAGATTTAGGACTGATCTGACATGTTCTGAAAGAGCAGCCTTAATTCCACGACAGTCGTGGTCCAAGAAGGTCCTTGCTCTTGTCCCTTTGTCCTACTTACAATATGCATGCATATACTTTTGGAGATTCACTACCAATATTTAACAACTATATCTCAAGCACTATTATAATTGTTATGGAGACAACAAAAGAAGTACAGGCCATTCCAACTTGTAAATCATGTCCCAAAATTAAATTTTTAATTGTTTTGTTTTTAAGGGCAATAAACTGTTGCAAGTAGTCAGGTTTGGGGCCCCCAAACTAGTCTATAGTCAGCCTAAAATAATGTAGCTAAAATTTTAGGAGGACTTCAGGATTCAAAGAGTTAATATTTGGGATTTTTTTTTTCCTTTACTGCACCTCACTTAGCTGAAGGACATCATGACAGTGCTCTAACTCACATGCTTTACACAGCCATTGCCTTCTTAGGTGTGGCAGATCACAAGGTATGTTCTTTTCTTTATTCCTAACGAGATCGAGAGATTGTGAAAAGTTACAGCAACTGTAACTTTAAAAGTGCACTTAAAATAAGTTACCAGTAACTTACAGTACTGCCTGACATTTAAGTAGTTCAGTAATTTGCGATATGGAAAAAACATAATAGCTCCATTTCTTTAAATATTATGTATTTAAGCATTGGGTATTGGACTGTGTGTTTCTAATGAAACTTATCTAATTTTACTCATAGGGTGGAGTGTTGTTGCTAGTACTGGCTTTGTGTTGTAAAGTTGGTTTTCATACAGCTTCCAGAAAACTCTCTATAGATGTTGGTGGATCCAAACGTCTTCAAGCTTTATCCCATCTTGTTTCTGTGCTTCTCTTGTGCCCATGGGTCATTGTTCTTTCTGTGACAACTGAGGTAAGAGTAGGAATTTATTGGTAATAAGTAAAATGAATTGCTCTTACTAAAAAATTTTAGTTCAGTACATTGTATTTTATTTCACTTTGAGCTTGCAAGTACCTTAAATTATCATTGCTTTTTTTATCATTTTTGAAAATTTTTGGAGTAAATTTATTGTTTATAGAAAATACAAATCAGGTACTATTACATTTATATATTCATCCTATTCCTGTGGCCCGAAGGAATCAATTAAAGAAATATTTATTAATTTTAGAGAGAGAGAGAATGAGTGAGCTGGGGGAGGGGCAGAGGAAAAGGGACAAGCTGACTGTGCTGAGCCCATTGCAGGGCTTGATCCCACAACCCTGAGATCATGAGTCGGACGCTTAACCGACTAGCCACCCAGACACTCCTAAAGAACCCGTTTTATGGTTACTGTGTGTTACAAGGCTTGTGGGTCACCTAGTATGTATATAATTATTAAACCATAGTGCTTTTGCTTTTAATACTTTGGGGATTACTGGGAAATGTACTAATATTTTGCAGCTCTTATATCTTGGCATTTTATGAATCATTGAGTTAGAATATTTGTTTAAATATAAAGGGATTAACTAAAACATAAGATGTGAACTTTATTCTGGTGTAGTACTAACTATTTTTTTTCTTTTAATTTCTAGAGTAAAGTCGAGTCTTGGTTTTCTCTCATTATGCCTTTCACAACAGTTATCTTTTTTGTCATGATCCTGGATTTCTATGTCGATTCCATTTGTTCAGTCAAAATGGAAGTTTCCAAATGTGCCCGCTATGGATCCTTTCCCATATTTATTAGTGCTCTACTTTTTGGAAATTTTTGGACACATCCAATAACAGACCAGCTTCGAGCTATGAACAAAGCAGCACACCAGGAAAGCACCGAACATGTCCTGTCTGGAGGAGTGGTAGTGAGCGCTATATTCTTCATTTTGTGTGAGCATTTTTCCCCTCAGGAAATTTCATCTCATGGATTCTCATGTTGAAATCATTTACTTAATTTGGAAATTTATTTAGTGCTGTGAGATACCGTGTTGGTTTTGGTAGCTTAAGCTTTTAAAACTTTTGTAATGTTGTTGTTTTCTCTTTTTTAAAAGCTGCCAACATCTTGTCATCTCCTTCCAAGAGAGGACAGAAAGGCACCCTAATTGGATATTCTCCTGAAGGAACACCTCTTTATAACTTCATGGGTGATGCTTTCCAGCATAGCTCCCAGTCAATCCCCAGGTTTATTAAGGAATCACTAAAACAGATTCTTGAGGAGAATGACTCTAGGCAGATCTTTTACTTCTTGTGCTTGAATCTGGTAAGATTTTTATATATTCATGGCATATCTTAAAAGCTTAATCTTTTAATTTTGACAGTTCTGGTATAATTTTAGTAATTCCCAAATTTCTGATACTTAGGGGTTAAAATTATATTTTCTCTCAGTGATCGGAGGATTACAGGATCATTCATATTCAGACTACTTAAGCAAACATTTTTTGAGGCATTTTAGATGCATTAGTTTAGTGTGCTATTTTAAATCAGTAAATATAGTAGCCTGTAAAGATTTTTATCTACTTCTTATAGGATCTCACCATAGACCAGATTGCTAACATTTTATAGCCTACTTTATTGAGTTCTACAGACATAAATGAAACTATCCCCTTTTAAATAATTTATAAGATGAACATATCTGATTCAGTGTAGTATCTTACAGTTTTTTTGTTGTTGTTGTTTTTAAGATTTTATTTATTTATTTGTCAGAGAGCACAAGCTGGGGGAGTGGCAGGCAGAGCAGGCAGGGCAGAAGTAGGCTCCCAGCTGAGCAAGGAGCCCAATGCAGGACTTGATCCCAGTACCCTGGGATCATGACATGAGCCAAAGGCAGATGCTTAACCAACTGAGACACCCAGGTGTCCCTATCTTACAGTTTATATGAATTGAAATAAAGTGGTAGTATATCTTCAAGTAAGATTTGAATAATAAAAGGTTAAGGGGCACCTGGTGGCTCAGTTGGTTAAGCACCTGCCTTCAGCTCAGGTCATGATATCAGGGTCCTGGGATGGAGCCCCACATCAGTCTCCCTGCTCGGCGGGGAGCCTACTTCTCCCTCTCCCTCTGCCTGTCATTCCCCTGCTCACGCTCACTTGCTGCCTTTCTCTCTCTCTCTCTTTCTGTCAAATAAATAAAAAATCTTTTTAAAAAAAATTTTTTTTAACTAAAAGGTTAAAATTCTCATGATTAAGTTCTGATAAATCTCTTGAAACGGTATTTCCTAACATATTCCTCCCCTGTTTAAATTTTTTTTAGCTTTTTACGTTTGTGGAATTATTCTATGGCGTGTTGACCAATAGTTTAGGTCTGATCTCAGATGGATTTCACATGCTGTTTGATTGCTCTGCTTTGGTCATGGGGCTTTTTGCGGCCCTGATGAGTAGATGGAAAGCAACTCGGATTTTCTCCTATGGGTAGGTACACTGACCATCAAGGTGATATAACACAATGAAAAAATCCTAGGGGCAAATTCCATCTTAGGGAATAAAATTTTATTCTTTTAATACAAATAATTTTTCAGAGCCTTAGTTTTCTTTAAATTGAGGTAGATACGAGGAAATAAACCAAGCATATGATAAATAATAAATGGCAGTAAGCTCAAGATTATATTCCCTGACTAATTCCTCTTGTATGGAGAGAGCAAAAATCAGTTAGATTTTGAGCTCTTTGCCTAACAGTTTATTTGAGACAATGGAATGTGCATGATCATTTGCATCTTTGCAGTTAGAAAGAGTATTCACAATTTGAAGAGGCTGTGCATGAACATGAAATATCCTTTCATCAACTGAATAATTCAGTTCAACAAATGTTAGAATCCTTGATTTGTACAAAGAATTTTAATAAGACCTACCCTGAATGGATTGATAAATTCAGCTCTTTTCAGCTGTTAATATTTTGAAAGATAGGTGAGCCAAAAATACAAATGATTTTATCACAAAGCAAAATCTATGGGCTGTGACAGAGGTACAGAGCCCATCAAGGGAGAGCCCATTAAAGGGAAAGAAGGAACTTCTTGCTAAGAAAGGCTTTGTGTAAGGGGAAACATTGAAGAAGGACTTGGATAAATATTTATAATTGCAACAAACTTAAGTACAGAAAGACTCTTCCAGCATTAGTATGGTGTTTAAAATCTTGGTAATTTTCTGATCGTATTATTTATATGTGTAGTTGAAAATCTGGACTTATATCAACTCTTTTGTACATAATGTTTATACTTTAAAAATATTTGTCATTTTCCTTTTCTAAAAATACATTCTACATTTTTAGGTATGGCCGAATAGAAATTCTCTCTGGATTTATTAATGGACTTTTTCTAATGGTAATAGCTTTTTTTGTGTTTATGGAGTCAGTGGCTAGATTAATTGATCCTCCGGAATTAGACACACACATGTTAACAGTAAGTCTTTATTTTCCTGTTTGAATTTCTATTCATACCCGCTACAGCATTTTCCATGCTAAAGTTTACTCGTAGTTATTGATCTAGGAAGGTTTTATTTTTTAATTTAAATTAACACAATTTCTTATCTTGTAATTATATTTATGCTGCTGACTCTTAGAAATTAATCCTTTTCTCTAATATTTTAGTCAGAATATTAGGTGACAGTCTTATTTTTTTTTTTTTAAAGATTTTATTTATTAGAGAGAGAGAGAGAGAGCATGAGAGGGGAGAGGGTCAGAGGGAGAAGCAGACTCCCCACTGAGCGGGGAGCCCGATGTGGGACTCGATCCCGGGACTCCAGGATCATGACCTGAGCCGAAGGCAGTCGCCCAACCATCTGAGCCACCCAGGCACCCTTAGGTGACAGTCTAAAACATACAGATTTCTTTCTGACTTACTAAATGTTTTTGTGTGAAGATATGCTTTTTAAATACCTGAGGAAATTTGCAAAATGATAGGGAAAGAATGAGAAAAATATTATCATTTTAAAGGCTTTACTTTGTTGATTGTACTACTGCTGTAGTAGTTTATAATGTTCTCCCTTTACCTCCAAACCTTTGCATGTGCTGTTTCTTGTAGTTGGCATGCTCTTCCCTCACGTCTGCCTTTCAGCCTTTGTCAGGACTTTGCTTATATGTCTCTTCCAGTGAAATACTTTCCCTTAATCCCTCTCTTCCCTCCTCAAAGTTTGGTAGATTTCCCTTTCTCAGTATTCCTGTTGTATCTTGCTTTTTTTTTTTTTTTTAAGCAACATTGAGTTATAACTCCTTTGTCTTTCTTCCACAATTAAAGATGTAAGTGAAGTATTTTCAGGACCTGAATTGTCTATCATTAACTCGTAAACTCTAGCACCTGGCTTGTTAGTAGGAAATCAGCACTTAATTGTTGAATGACTATAAGTTATAAATCTGGTTGCTGGAAGCTTGTATTAGTAAAATGCTTTGGATTGCAGTTTAGAAATATATTTTAAATTTTAAATGCTTTTATCTTTGATCTTTAATATTTATTACAGAAATACTTGCAAAAAATATTTGCACAGGTGTGTAAAGGTGCATGATTCCTTGTGCCATTGCTCATAATGGTGAAAAAATGTCCACCAAGGAAAAGACAGGTTAAATAAAGAAATAAAGCTGTCATTTGTAGGATACTGTACAGCCAATAAAAAGAATGAGGCATATCTATATACACTGGCATGAAAAATACTTATAAACTGTACTAAGTTAAAAAAAAATTCCAAAGCAGCATTATAATATGATGCTATTATTAGTGTAAAAAGGTGTTTATGTATGTATTTTAGTATGTGCATAGAAAGTACACCATTCTCTTAGTGACTAATTTTTGGGGGTTAGATTACAGGGAGCTTGCACTTTCTACATTTTTTCTACATATTTTTTTCTGATGAAATCTATACAAATGAAGTATTTATCATTAGAGGAGAAATACTTGAGATGATGGGGTCTCTGTATGCGGTATTTGATTTAATTCAAAATTAACCATTTTCAAGTTCTTCATAAAGCTGACTAAAATTTTAAAATCTGACAGATAAATGGTCTGAGCCTCAGTAAGAAGTGTATAATACATGTTTACTAAAGTAAATCTCCTGTCTTACAAACTTTGGAAATTAATTAGAATTATCTGTCCCCATTATTTTTATATATTATTTTTATAAATCAAGTGGATTTCTCTAAAGGAGAAATTTTAATATATGTAAATTAAGTAACACCCTGAACTATCCAAAATCATTTTATAAGAGAGGAAAATCAAGGGTAAGTAACTTTGTTTATCCTTTGGGGTGTTATGTGGCATTATTAAATCAAGATAATTCCATTCATTTTGTTTAAAAAAAAAAAGAGGTGAAAGATTACTATTATATGTTTGTTTTTCCATTATACTTTTTTTTACTTTGGGAAATTTTACTATATTTTAAGAAACGCAATAAGATTATATGTATTTGGAATCCACTAGTTAGTAAATTATAATCATTGCCTTACAAACCGAAATATAAATGAGATTTCAGCTACAGTGCATACTTGCTCTAGTAAGCAGTACTTTCAAACTTTATTTAAATAAAACAAAACTCTAGCATAACTTACTGATAAACCGTGAACCAAGTACTTGTTCTTCACTTGATTAAAGCAAGCCCAAATTCCTCTACTTGTCAAAACTTTGCTATTTGAAAGTTAAAATGTTTCTTCTAAAATATTCTAAAATCTTTTTAAAAATTTTGGATTTCCTTATTGAACTTAGGTTTTACAAAAATACTTTGAAAAAAAATGAAAAAAAAAACTTTGAAAACTGTAAACAGAAAAACATTTAGATTTATAGTAACTTTTAAATAACAAATATATTTTTAAAATTACAAATTTAAAGGTTTTCTTTTCTCCTTTTACTAGCCAGTCTCAGTTGGAGGGCTGATAGTAAACCTTATTGGTATCTGTGCCTTTAGCCATGCCCATAACCATAACCATGGAGCTTCTCAGGGAAGCTGTCATTCATCTGATCACAGTCATTCCCACCATATGCATGGACACAGTGACCATGGGCATGGTCACAGCCACGGATCTGCAGGCAGAGGCATGAATGCTAACATGAGGGGTGAGTCCTTGCCAAATATTGCCCTACTTTTCAACTGTGTTCTGAATTGACGCTGTCTTATTTGTATAATATTAGGCTTCTGGTACAGTTGTATTTTTGAAAAACAGTCTGCGGCTAAAAAAATGAAGTCATCTGCTGTAGAAAATGCTCACATTTGTTCATAAATGTCAATTTTTAAACAGATTATTGTATTATAGAGTCCTTTCATAGTGACATTTGCATGAATATTATTTGGAAGGGAAATACTGTGTTATTATGAACTTTCACTATAAAAGAACCAGGAAATTTTTATTGTATTGTAAAATATATAGGGGAATTATTTATCACTTATTGTGTTGAATTATTTATTGTGATTGCTTAATTTGGATAATGTCAAAACTTGGCTCATGTGTGATTTCTAGGAAAACCACACCATCATAAAACTCACTACTCTGTGCTATAGTTGCCTATATCTTTCCCTTTTTACCACTGTGCTGTGAAGTCTTTGAGAGCAGTGACCATGGGTTTTTTGTTTTTTGTTTTTAAGTACTATCCCCTAGCAGAATCAGGTGCATAGTAGGTACCCAGTAATATTTATAAAATGGATAAAAAAACTAAATTAGATGTGCTTTAATTTTTAATGTTTTCATATTTTACTTGTAGGTGTATTTCTACATGTTTTGGCAGACACACTTGGCAGTATTGGTGTGATCGTATCCACAGTTCTTATAGAGCAGTTTGGATGGTTCATTGCTGATCCCCTCTGTTCACTCTTTATTGCTGTATTAATATTTCTTAGTGTTGTTCCACTGATTAAAGATGCCTGTCAGGTTCTACTTTTGAGACTGCCACCAGAATATGAAAAAGAACTACATGTTGCTTTAGAAAAGGTACTGTGTGTAATTTCTTCACTGTATTTTTTCCTTTTAAAATAGAATTTGAAAAAATAATAAATAAAATAGCATTTGAAATTGAGTAAGTTGACACAACTAGAAATGTACAAAATATGAATTAAGAAAATACAGTTTTATTTAAAGGACATAAAAAGGGGCACCTCGGTGGCTCAGTATGGTTAAGCATCTCACTCTTGATTTTGGCTCAGGTCATGGTCTCAGGGTTGTGAGATCAAGCCCTGCATCCGCATGGAGCCTGCCTAACATTCTCAGTCCCTCTCCCTCTGCCCACCCCCCAACTTGTGTGTGCACACACACTCTCTTTTTCAAAAATAAATAAATAAATAACATAAAATAGGGAGTGAATAAATGGAGAGATTTTTCTTGGATGGGAAATTGTATTGTGAAGTTGTTGTATTTCTTTCATTTAAATCTCAGTGCAGTTGCCTCCTGGGATTCTTTTCTTTTGGTTGTTTTTGTTTTGGGGGAGACTGGGTAATCCAGTATTACTTAGAAACTTACTTGGAAAAGTTAATGCTTGAGAATAAACAACAACAAAAAAATGCAAAAATTACAAATTAATAGGATTCCATTCCATGATTATAAAGTTACAGAATTAACTAACACAACTAACAGTTTTATTCTTGCACAACAGTAAACACAAAAATCAATTTTTAAAAAATTGGTTGTGCAGAAACAGACCCAGGAATTTATGGAATTCAGTACGTAGCAAAGATGGCGTTTCAGATCAGTGGGGAGAAAGGGTGGGCCTAATTAACATTTCCACTTGGTGGAAAAGAAAAGCTGTATCTCTTTACCATCAAATATCAAAACATATTTCCAGTGGACTAAATATGAAATGATAAGAAATCATAAAACTACTAAAATAAAATAGAAGAATATTTTTAGTATATTTCTCTACAGAGGTAGAGAAAGCCTTTTTTAATAAGCTTGAATTGAAACTAGAAGCCAAAGGGCACCTGGGTGGCTCAGTTGGTTAAGCGTCTGTCTTCAGCTTCGGTGGTGATCTCAGGGTCCTGGGATCAAGCCTCTTGTCAGGCTCCCTGCTCAGGAGAGAGTCTGCCCTCCCTCTGTGCCACCCCACCCCCACTCATGCACATGCTCTCTCTCTCTCAAAAAAAAAATCTTATTAAAGAAAAAAAAGCATCAGGGGCGGGGGAAGGAAGGGGGTGCGGCATGTGGGTGGCTCAGCCAGTTAAGCATCTGCCTTCGGTTCAGGTCATGATCCCAGAGTCTTGGGCTCAAGCCCCACATCGGGCTCCCTGCTCAGTGAGGGGCCTGCTTCTCCCTCTGTCTCTCTCTCTCTCTCTCAAATAAATAAAATCTTGGGCGCCTGGGTGGCTCAGTTGGTTGAGCGGCTGCCTTCAGCTCAGGTCATGATCCTGGAGTCCCGGGATCGAGTCCCACATCGGGCTCCCTGCTCAGTGGGGAGTCTGCTTCTCTCTCTGACCCTCTTCCCTCTCGTGCTCTCTATCTCTCATTCTCTCTCTCAAATAAATAAATAAATAAAATCTTAAAAAAACAAAAACAAAAACCTGGAAGCCAAAAAGGAAGGAAGAAAATCTACAGATTGGAGCAATTGAAAATTATCCATCAGCAGGAGACTCCATTAACAAATAAATACAGATCTTTGAGCTCGCAGAGTAGACACCATGAGCAAAGCTCACCCCCTCCCAAGTTGAAACAATTTATGGACCAGAAATTATCACTGAAATTAAATGGTGGCAGACACATCCAAGGAATATTGCAGGGGTTCAGTCCCTTTGTCGATCTTGTGATACACAATGAATGTGTGGAAATGACAACTAGTGGGCCACAGAACAAGATTGGAATGGTGGTAATATGAGGAAAGGTATCATCATGTTAGAAGTCTTGGAACAAGTATAAACAATGGGTGTGTACTCTGGAAGGAATCAACTGCTTCCACATGTCCTCTCTCCAAAGCACCTGTTTTACTACAATATAAAAATCAGGTCATGTGCATTTTCACATTGACCTTTTTTGTTAAGTAAACTTTTGCAATAGAATGCTTTCTCAGGCATTCTGAATGTAGAAAATTGAATATTAGCTCATATTCTAATTTTTTCTGACATGAACTGCTCCTGTTTGAGACCAATTTGTTCCAGAGCTTTTATGCATTAATATAGAAGCATCTAATCAAATGTGAAGCATGGCAAGGATGCCTTTTTTCCATCTTTTAATGGAAAGATAACCTGAAAACCTGAGCAGATTTCTTCTGAAACATTAAATGTAATTTTCAAAACTCTTGTAGTAGCTTTTGAACATAAACGGGGGAAAATTTTTGAATACAAGAATAGAAATAGAACTCGGGAGAAAAAAAAAGGCAGACAAGGGGAAAATATTTGCAGCACATATAAACAGGCAGACACTAGCCAAAATAATTTTTTTTAATTAAGAAAAAGAGTTTTGGGGCGCCTGGGTGGCTCAGTCGTTAAGCATATGCCTTCAGCTCAGGTCATGATCTCAGGGTCCTGGGATCAAGCCCCGCATCGGAATTCCTGCTTAGCGGGAAGCCTGCTTCTCCCTCTCCCACTCCCCCTGCTTGTGTTTCCTCTCTTACTGTGTCTCTCTCTCTCAAATAAATAAAATCTTTAAAAAAAAAAAAGTCTTGTAGGAATATGGACTAAGAATATAAACCGGCAATTCATAGAAAAAACAAATACAAAATAAATTTTTCAGCTTGTGGTCAGCCATATCTTTTTTTTTTTTTTTTAAGATTTTTATATTTAAGGGGCGCCTGGGTGGCTCAGTTGGTTAAGTGCCTGCCTTCAGCTCAGGTCATGATCTCAGGGTCCTGAGATCGAGTCCCACATCAGGCTCCTTGCTCAGCAGGGAGTCTGCTTCTCCCTCTCCTCCCTACTTGTCCTCTCACTCGCTCGCTCTCTCAAATAATATTTTTGTAAAAAAGATTTTGTATTTAAGGAGCACATGGGTGGCTCAGTTGGTTAAGCCTCCGACTCTTGATTTCAGTCAGGTCATGGTCTCAGGTTCCTGGGATTGAGCCCGGCATCAGTCTCTGCACTCAGTGGGGAATCTGCCTGAGATTCTCTCTCCCTCTTCTGCCCCTCCCCGCACTAGTGTGTCCACTCTCTTGTTGTCTTACTCTCTGAAGTATAATTTTTTTAAAGATTTTATTTATTTGAGAGAGAGAGAGCACAAGCAGGGAGGGGAGGTGGGCAGAGGGAGAAGGAGGAGCAGACACCCCGTTGAGCAAGGAGCCCAGTGTGGGACTCGATCCCAAGACCCCAGGATCATGACCCAAGCCAAAGGCAGACGCCCAACCAACTAAGCCACCCAGATGCCCCAAAATAAATTTTTTTTAATTTTATTTTATTTTTTTTAAGATTTTATTATTCTAGTTGACAGAGACACAGCGAGAGAGGGAACACAAGCAGGGGGAGTGGGAGAGGGAGAAGCAGGCTTCCCATGGAGCGGGGAGCCCAGTGTGGGGCTCGATCCCAGGATCCTGGGATCATGACCTGAGCCAAAGGCAGACGCGTAACAACTGAGCCACCCAGGTGCCCCTTAAATTGTATTTTTAAGTAATCTCTACACCCAGCGTGGGGTTCAAACCCACAACCCTGAGATCAAGAGTCACAGGTTTTACTGACTGAGCCAGGCAAGCACCCCTTTTTTTTTTTTAAGTAAGCTTTACACCCAACATGGGGCTTGAACTCATGACCCTGACAAAGAATTTGATTCCTTTTTTTTTTTTTTTAAAGATTTTATTTATTTATTTGACAGAAAGACACACAGTGAGAGAGGGAACACAAGCAAGGGGAGTGGGAGAGGGAGAAGCAGGCTTCCCGCGGAGCAGGGAGCCTGATGCGGGGCTTGATCCCAGGACCCTGAGATCATGACCTGAGCCGAAGGCAGACGCCCAACGACTGAGCCACCTAGGCGCCCCCCTTTTTTTTTTTTTTAAATAATCTCTACCCTCAACATGGGCCTCAAACTCACAACCCCAAGATCAAGAGTCACATGTTCTTTTCTTTTCTTTTCTTTTTTTTTTTTTTAGAGAGAGAGAGTACAAGCAGGGGGAGCAGTAGGGAGAGGGAGAAGCAAGCTCCTGCTGAGCAAGGAGCCCCACACAGAGCTCAGTCCCAGGACCCCAGGATCATGACCTGAGCCAAAGGCAGACTCAACCGACTGAGCCACCCAGGCGCCCCAAGAGTCGCATGTTCTACTAACTAAGCCAGCCAGGTGCCCTTGCTATATTATATTAACTTAGGATCTACTGATGAAAAGTTGGTATCTTGAATATTTAAGGAATAACATCTTAACCCATTGTTTTCATAAATAAAATTAGTAAAGTTTTCTTACCTTCTTATTAGTGAATACTACATCCTACCAAAAGGAAAAAAAAAGTTTTATTTCAAAAATAAATTATGCCCATTCTGGAAAACTTCCAAAATATTTTTTTTATTTTTTTTGTTTTTATTTAAGTAATCTCTGCCACCAATGTGGAGCTTGAACTCACATGTTCTACCAGCTGAGCCAATGAGGTGCCCGTGGAAAGAAACACTTTTAAAATGTGCTTTTCTATATTATTTTGAAAATAGGGGTGCCTGGGTGGCTCAGTTGGTTAAATGTCTGCCTTCAGCTCAGATCATGATCCCAGGGCACTGGGATCCAGCCCCAGCTCGGGGCTGCCTTCTATCTCTCAAAAAAATAATAAAATCTTTAGAAAAATTTTAAAAAGATTTGAAAATAAAAAATGATGAAAACTGTTTTGTACTGCTTTGTAAATTTTTCCCCATTCAGTTATATCATGTTGATAAACACTCTCATACCTTTTTAATGAGTGTAGTGTTACATTGTATGCAATATCCATTAATCAGTTCATTGTTAAAACATAGAGGATATCTTTTGAACATGTTTATATAAACATTAATATGTGAATTGTGTATGAATGTGAGGAAACCAAGTAGTCCATTGAAAGTATCCAATGTTTAGAAAAGGCAAAGTGCCTCTTAAAGAGGTGAAAATGGGTACGCAACTATTGAGTGTAAAGACACCTGTAACCCCCATTCATTTCCTCTTCAGAGCTGTTCCCTGACATCCCTCCCAGTTCAAAATATTTTAGGCAAGTTTACTTCAAACGAGTTGTCCCTTTCTTTTCTCACTTCTTTGATCTCCTTATTATCTTTTTTAAAAATCAGCTTAATAGTGGTTTCTGGACCAAAAAGATTGCTTTGTGTTAAGTAAATTAGCCTTTTAAGTCCATTTACATCACCTCTCCTTTTATTTGACAGATACAGAAAATAGAAGGATTAATATCATACCGAGATCCTCATTTTTGGCGTCATTCAGCCAGTGTTGTGGCAGGAACAATTCATATACAGGTGACATCTGATGTGCTGGAACAAAGAATAGTACAGCAGGTGATAATCTTTTGTTTTTAAAGTAATTTCATTTGAGTTAATTCATGTATAAACTGGGACACATTATAAATTATACAGTTGAGTAATCATTTATTCAAAAATATCAATCTATTAGCTGCCCAAGGATAATATAACTTATTTTTTATATCTAGATTTGTTTTCTACCCCAAAATGGTTAAAATTTAAGTTTTAGTATTTAGATGACAAGCTTAAGTGAATGTAATAAAGTTTACTTATGATCCACCTTGGCTCCCAATCGATTGTCCAGAAATAAATTATTATAAATACAGATCTAGATTAATAATAATCACAGTCAAGTTGGCAGCATATAACACTGTGGTTGGAGGCAAGGATCAAAGCAGTTCCTATATTCCTATTCTAAACCTACCATATTGGAAACAAAAGCTGTTTCCCTTTTCAACTTTGAATGTCAGGTCAGTAATTTCCTGGCCATCTAAAGGATTATAGCTAATACTTGACCAAGTAAATAAATAATAAATATTACTTTGAGGATTATCTTTGACTATCTGTGGCTATGAAATATCTGATAGGTAATACCAGTTATTTAAGACATACACTAAATGTATTAATCTAAATGCTTTAAAATGTATGGGTTTTGATAACAGGTTACAGGAATACTTAAAGATGCTGGAGTAAACAATTTAACAGTTCAAGTGGAAAAAGAGGCATACTTTCAACATATGTCCGGCCTAAGTACTGGATTTCATGATGTTCTAGCTATCACAAAACAAATGGAGTCCATGAAATACTACAAAGATGGTACTTACATCATGTAGGATAACTCGAGAATTACCTCTGGGGTATGAACAATGAAGATTAAATTACTCGGTATTTATAATATTGCCAGAAGGAAGAAAATTGCACATAATTGTACAGAAACATTTGCTGTATTTGAAAAAAATTCTGAAGTTCCCTACTATTGGATCAAGGAATCTTTCTTAAAGGATATTTAAATACAGAATGAAGCATTAATTGTACAAGTAAAAAAATTACTTGAATTATGTGTATAACAGGAATCTTAAAATTTGAGTGAACATGATGTATCACATCATCTTTGAAAACGAACATATAATGATGGATTCTAGTGAAGACCAAAATTACTTCTGTGTGTTTACTTTCTGTCAGAAAGCATCTCCATTGTAAATAATGTATTTACATGTTTATTACAAAGACCCAAATGAAAAATTTTTAGTCAATTTTTTGCATAGCCCTAGGATAAAATAGGAATTAAAGTTCTATATTTATGGATTTTCTGTATATAAAACTGGTTTCTAATTATAACTTAAATCCATTAAGTAAAAGCTGTATTGCCACTTTAAATGTAAACTAAATTATTTGGGAAGAAACAACCACTGAAATGAGACAAGCAGTGAGAATAGGGAACTTTAACATTATTGATGTATTACAAAAACCAACCACTCTGTAAAATAAATTTTTTTACTTTTGGTAACACTTGCAAATGAATAATTACTTTATTAGGGTAAAAACTTATACTAAGTTGTGTGCATGTTATTCGATCACTTGTCTTCTTCCTCTGAAGTAGAATATTCCATTTCTTGTTATGAATCTGCCATTCCAAGTTGCTTGTGAAGCTGGTATCCAAACAATGCAAGGGTTCTCATCTTTTCATTTAGCTCCATATTTTGTGGAACAACCAGTTGAGAGAATCATAAATAATGTGAACTCACATTTGAATTTTCTGCCTTTAACATAACTTTTTTTTTAATTTCTGGAACATGTAGATCTATAAGAAGTATCAAAGAATAGGTAGTTATTTTAAAGTTTAGTAAGTAAATCTTGTCCATAAGTACTTGGGCACCATGAAATCAAAATATCTACCCTGTAACTACTTTCTATAGCAATATCTAATTTATATTTTTTCATTTCCAATTTAAACTGAATGTATAGTCTGAAAAAACTGTATGATAAATAGATCTATAATAATATATGCAGCTTTATGAACACCAAAGAATGTTGTTCGAAAGAAATTTTTGAATACCTATTTATAAGCATTTGAATATTTTCATTCTTGCAATAGGAATTTTGATAAGTAGGATGAATTAATTTTAGTATGGGTACTATTTTTTTAACTATACCATAACGGCAAACATGTATTGTAAATCATATTTTTATCTTAACAATTATGTGAGAGGTTTTAGAAATTTGTTATAAGTTATTTTGATATTCTTTGTCTTATCTTTACACATTTTCTGGTCCAGAATCTTCAATACATAATTAAAATTTTTGAGTGGTGGGAAAATAATTGCATATTGATGTTTTAATGCAATTTTGGTATATTAAAAAAATTTCTAAGTGGATAGGTATAATAAATATTGCATCGTTATTAAAATTGTCATTTCCTGGGCGCCTGGGTGGCTCAGTCATTAGGCATCTGCCTTCGGCTCAGGTCATGGTCCCAGGGTCCTGGGATCGAGCCCTGCATTGGGCTCCCTGCTCGGAGGGAAGCCTGCTTCTCCCTCCCCCACTCCCCCTGCTTGTGTTCCTGCTCTCGCTGTGTCTCTCTCTGTCAAATAAATAAATAAAATCTTTAAAAAAATAAAATAAAATAAATTGTCATTTCCTAGGAGGCATACAACAGCAGAAAAATTAAATTACTGTGATGAGAGATAAGGTGAGACATAGGGCAGGGGCTGAAGGGGATGCAGATCGGAAGTAGGGAAACCAGTATTAAAAGCACCAGGATATGGGGGCGCCTGGGTGGCTCAGTCGTTAAGCATCTGCCTTCAGCTCAGGTCATGATCCCAGGGTCCTGGGATCGAGCCCCACATCGGGCTCCCTGCTCCGTGGGAGGCCTGCTTCTCCCTCTCCCACTCTCCCAGCTTGTGTTCCCTCTCTCGCTGTGTCTCTCTCTGTCAAATAAAGAAATAAAGTCTTTAAAAAAAAAATAAAAGCACCAGGATATGGGTTCTAGCTCATACATTGTGACTTTAGGCAAATCATCTCTGGGTATCTTTTTTTTTCCCCTGTACATAAAACCAGAATAAAATTTGCTCAAGTTCATAGGGTTATGAGGAGTAAAAGGAATAATGTATGTGAAATGAATTGAAAAAAAATTTTCTTAATGAATTGAAAGTTGAAAAAAGGGCTCAATAAAGTGGAGGAATTGTTATTCTAAACCTGCCTTCAAAGGTAGCTTTCATTAATTTGTCTTTTTTCTATTAAAATCAGCGTCCCAAGATATAAACTATATTTTAAAGTTCAAAATAATACCGCAGTGGCCTGTTTAACAGTTCATTTACCCCAAGAAGGGTGGTAGTGGTTGTTTACCACACCTATTAATTTCTCTCCTCTTCCTTTTTTCTCCAGCCATTGTTTTTTTTCCCATATTACCAGTTTGGGAAAGCGCGTGATTTCCACTTAGAATTAACTTTAGGGGTGCCTCAGTCAGTTAAGCGGCTGCCTTTGGCTCAGGTCATGATCTCAGGGTCCTGGGATCGAGCCCTGCATGGGGCTCTCTGCTCACCAGCGAGTCGGCTTCTCCCTCTCCCTCTGTGATCTCTCTTGCTTTCACTCTCTCTCAAATTAATAAAATCTTAAAAAAAATAATTAACTTTACATGTTATAGATTTATTATTCTTTTTACATAATAATTGATCAGACTTTAAACTTTCCTAATTTCAATAGAATAATGAAACTAGGGATGCGTGGGTGGCTCAGTCGGTTAAGCATCTACCTTCGGCTCAGGTCGTGATTCCAGGGTCCTGAGATTGAGTCCCACATCAGGCTCCCTGCTCGGTGGGAAGCCTGCTTCTCCCTCTGCCTGCCGCTCCCCCTGCTTGAGGTCTCTCTCTCTCTCTGACAGATGAATAAATAAAATCTTTAAAAAAAAAAAAATGAAACTAGTTATAATTAGATATCTCTAAGGGTTCTGGTTTTCCTTTAAATTTAGATTATGATTCTCCCCTAAAATATTATATCAATGCAGAGATATTTGTTTTTACTAGTTAATGGTCACGTGGTTCAGAATTTAAGAATAAATGGGGGGGCGCCTGGGTGGCCCAATCGTTAAGCATCGTCTGCCTTCAGCTCAGGTCATGATTCCAGGGTCCTGGGATCGAGCCCCACATCGGGCTCCCTGCTCAGCAGGAAGCCTGCTTCTCCCTCTCCCACTCCCCCTGCTTGTG